ACTTGTCATTGGTAGAGAGGGTTTGCTACAGTGAGAGAAAGTCCTGGCTCTTACCCACTCTGCCTGCATCTTGATGAGACTGGAAAGAAATTATAAAGATAGTTGAACAGGAAGCAGCAGTAAAATCATGATTGTATTTCTTTTCCTTCTTGAGGGTTTCTATGGACTTATTCTCCATTTCATCCAAGGCAACAGCAATAGAAGACATCTCCTTCGTCCACCCCCCACTGTCAGAACTCTCTTCAATCCTGCCTTCTCCACACACTTAAAAAAAATGTCCATTATTATGCAGACACAATAGTCATTCTCCTTATTTACATGATTATCATGACATCACTGTGGACCAAACCCCCATGGCATCAAACACAGAGCCAGCCATCCTGCACAGATCAGCACTCATCACTCTGTAGCACTGAATAATGTGGCTAGCTCCACTATATGGGTTAGGCCCAGAGAAGGTAAACAGCTCACCTGATGAAGGGAACAGCTCTGGTAACCTTCCTTTCAGCCCAGATGCAGGAAGTAGAGCAGTACCATCTTCACTTCCTGCCTAAATCTGCTAGCAAAGTGCTCTTTATGTATTGGATCACTTAAAATCAGGGAAATCCTATCATTGACATCCTATGAATGTGCAGCCATAAAGACATACACTATAAATATTTCCTTGCAAAAGAAAAGACCATTCTAGATTAAAGGAGACACAATAACTAAACAATTCTGGATTGGGTCCAGGATCAGACAAATGACATTAATGGGAAAATTGACAAAATTAGCAAAAATCTAGTTAGGACCTAAAGTTAAATAATAGAATCAGATCAATGTGAATTTCCTGATTTTGATAACCATACTGTATAAAACACATAGGGCAAGTTATCAATGCACGGTATCAAATAAAAGTGAATTGTAATTATTTCTGTTCATGGATTCCTAAGCACACAGGAGGATCAAATAGGACCAACATCCTTAGGTCCTTAATACAAAAACAACTTCACAGGCTCACATAAGAAATTCTGCTTAGTGGTACAAGACTATAAACTCAGCTACAGAAGAAGCTAAGGCAGGAGGATTGAAAGCTCAAGGCCAGCTTAGGAAATTTAGTGAGAACATGTCTCAAAATTTAAAATAATAATGGACTGGGAACATAGCTCAGTGGTAAAGCAATCCTGGGTTCAATTCCCAGTACCAAAAACAAAACAAATCCAAGAAAGACAAAAAGAAATAAAAATTCTGGGAACTCCACAATGTGTCCCAATCTTTCCAAAATACAATGATTCTACCCACAAGTGGCAATAATGCAATATCCCCTTCACCTTCCGATAATAACTAATCATTTTTAAGTTTCCCCTTATGTGTTTAAAAAAATGCAGGCAAAAGCTCTGCAGCAATTCCACCTCCCATGAAAACACAGAAAACCACCTAAAAAGCACTGGGTACTACCTCCCCCACCTTATCCCTTTTCTGGCCAATATGTTCTTGGCTGAGCAGTTGGCAGTTAGATATGTGTGTAACTACTAACTCTTTGCCCTTTGTCCCACCACATGTGGGTTTCAGAAAACACCTGAACATGAGGATGGGTGCAGTGACTCAAGGTTCCCATCACTGGCATAAAGCTTAAACCTCAGCCAATGCTGAGAATTGCATGTTCCTACGGAAGATGCACATTGCCCTAAGCATCTGAATTCAATTTTAACAGATGACTGACATCCTTCCCCACCTACTAAATTGAGTAAATGACAAAACGCACGTGATTAAGCTTCCAAATCTCCAAAGCTGGCTGGAGACAGGCCCTTAGAGAGCCAGCTGAGAGGCAGTAATGGCATTAAAGCCTTCTCTTCTCATACAGAAAGATAAGTGAAAAGTTGAAAAGAAGTTATACAACTGGACTAAACTCTGTTCTCAAGGGTCTTCACTGGCATGTTCTTACTTAAGACTATATAGACCACCTTAGGATCCAAGAACATCAAATCTCTCATTACCCTTCACTACATGCCTCAGGTAAGAGAGAGTTTCCATTTTACAGACAGAAAAATTAGCAGCACCAAAGAATCAAGAAGATCCCTAAACAACACTGTCTATAGGCAAAAGAACCCAGAAGGAACCAAATGCTCTACAGTAAGAAAACAAATATCCTTAATTTCTGCAATTCATACACACACACACACACACACACACGCACACACATGCATGCACACACAGTTTATACCACTAAATTACCAGAAAAGCAACGGTGGTATCTTATTTATTTATTTTTTTCCTGAATTAAAACCTGGATGAAGACAAATCGCCCACCCTCTTGGAATTATGTGGCTTCCAACCAATGCTTTGCAGCCTGGCCAAACAATGTTAACAGGCTTCTCGCTCTCCCTTGCAAAAGAACAGCACTGGTAGGTTCTGCAGAATTTTATGGAAGCAGTTACAAGACTAGCCTATATTTTTTAAATATGAAAAACATTTGTGTTTTAAAAAAAAATCTCTCTTAATTGTGGTCACCATAAGGGAGAAGAGCATGTTGCCTGACTGTCTAAGAACTTTGCTAACAGAACCAGTTGTCATTTAAACAATAGTGCATGCACGAATTATTTGTTTCTATTTTAAAACAACAAACTGAAGTGACAAAAATCAAAGCACCAGCATCAATAAGAAGCCTCTGAGGAACAAATCTACACCTTGGAAAGCAGAACAACCAGGAGACACTGGAGCAAATAGGAAAGCAAGTAGCTGAAAAGACCTCACTAAAAGAAAGAATGAAAGACACAAGTAACATGAAAGATCTTTGTACCAAATTTGAACAAAAGCAACTTAAACACTGTATAAAAAAAAAAAAAAAAAAAAAAAAACAGGGAACTGTGAAGACATCCTAGGATAAAAGTTTCCATTGCACTTGAGGATTAAATTAACATTTACCGTCTATGGCCAAGTCTGCACGAGAAGTTTCCAGGAAGGAACATCAAGTTTGCTGACCAACATTACAAGGTAAAGACAGGGAAGGATGTGCTCACTATTAACAGGAATCCTAGGAGCAAAAGTCTGCTAGGCATTCGGGGATTCAAGTGAGTGGAAAACAGTTCCAAATGGCCTTTCCTCAGTTTATTAAAGAACATGTGATCACTCAGCCAGTACTCACCTCTGGGCACATCTCAAAAAGAAGAAATACACTCTGCTGATTATGGCAAGGAAGCACACCTGCCAGCACTATAATCCCAGCTCCTCAGGAGGCTGAGGCAGCAGGATCAAGAGTTCAAGGTCAGCCGTGGGCAACTTAGAAAGACCCAGTCTCAATATTAAACTTTTTAAAATGGGATGGGGATGTAGTTCAATGTTAGAGTGCCCCCAGTTGAACCCCCAGTTCTGAGCAAAAATAAAATAAAATAAAATAGAGAAGTTATGGAGGGATACGTGGAGAGGACCTTGTGAGTGATCAGATGGAACAGGCAAGGTAGGGAGGAGGTATCACATAGAATTCCAGTGTCCTGGGGCTGGGGGAAGAAATACAATGCACAGGAAGCTTGGGAGAGATGGCCAACTGCTTGCATGCGAGGTGACTAAAAGGCTGGACAACTGTGCAGCACTAAGATGAAGGTCTTAGGCTAAAGCTCTGCAAAGGAAGCAGGCCTAGGAAACCTCGCTGGCTATGAGGAAACAGCTAACAGGATGAAAACAGATGAAACTTCAGTGAAGAAGAAAGCAAAGCTGAATACCAAAACACTAGTCCTTTGCAGATGTATACTGTGCAAGCCAATGGCTTCCAAACTGCTTTTATCCTCTCTGGCACAAAGTTTAGACATCCCACCAAAGGACTCAGGGCCAGACTCCAACACACAGGGAATCTCTCCAGGCTCCACCCTCAGTCTGCAGTTAAGGAATCCTCAAATTCTGGTCAGGCACTTCTGGGTTCTAATCTGCTGCCTCAGACAGAAGACTTATCTGTGCTGCCTTGGTACATGCACCACAGGATGGACTGTCTGCCCAGTTTCCCCTGTTCCCTCAGAGACAACAGGGGGACCAACATCTCCAAAGCAAATACAATACAAACCACCAAGTTCTGCTGCTCCAGGAGAGGAGCTCAGATATCTACACATAGTGGGTCTGTCCTTGAAGTCTACTTTAAAATTTGTTTAAACAATTCTAAAAGCATCACCTAAATGCATTTTCTACATTATGTTCTAGAAAAGGCAACCTCCTAAGTTAACCTTCATTACTTATACCCTGGGCATAATGACATGCATTCTCTAAAGCACATTTCTTTGCCAATTTTATTTAGAGCACAGACAACTCAGATTCGTATCAGCTTTGTTTATAACTTTAACAGGGGCCAGGGGAAGAACTTCCCTTCCTAAATTCTATGACTATGTAAATACTTTAAATTATAAATGTTTAATATTTAAAATCAAGCTAAACCAAACCAGTGGTTAAATTTTGTTAGAGTTCATACCAGAATGAACTTAATTACAAATAAATAAAACTCTACATAAATGCAAACATCAATAAATACACTCACACATACATGCCATTTTAAAAATCTAAAAACTAGAATGGAAAATTTTTCAGATTGTCGTTAACGTAACTTAGTCAACATAAGGTAGACTACAAATGAGATCACAGATCTTTTACGAGGAAAGAATTATGTCCCAGAAACATTCAAACAACCATGAAAAACAAGAGTTTGTCATTTTCCATTTAAAACTGTGTTTAAAAATGACCATTCCTCTTTTGCAAATCACAAAGAAAAGATATTCAAAGGTATTTTTACCTCCTCAGTATTCCAGCCTCATCCACTCTGACCTTATTTCAACAAAGATGATAAATGGAAAGATGAAATCATTTGAGTTTCTCACAGTTTCCACACCCGAACACCTAACAGCAAACCCAGCTAACCAAAAGGCAAAGGCATGTATCTAGGTGATCACTAATCAGGACTAAACAACATGTCCTGAGTATGTGGGAATCATTTCCTTGGGTGGGGCTCGGCTCCTGCAGGGCAATGGGACAGTGGCGCTTACCTTCTTGGCTCTTTGGGCTATGTCTGGCGTTCTGGTAAGCAGCTTCTCAATCAGGTACTCTCTGTTCTGCAAAACAAATGATCCCAACAGTTTAACACCAAACATGATACATATGAATTCACAGTGATTTCAAAATAGCAGATTGACTTGGGTTTTTAAGCATGTTACCTTGGCTTTCTGGAAGAATTTGCATTTTAAAAGTTCTGCTGCTGTGGGCCTGAAAGATCAATAATAAATTAGAGTTGAAACAATGATCACTTGATAAATACACTGCCTTGATGATACAACTTAACCTTACAGTATTTCTGGAAGACTAATTTTAAGACCAGCAAAACCAGAAACTAAATTAATCATGAGTCTCGGCACCAAATAAAATAGTGCCAGTTTTCCAGTTCTTTCTAAACACCTCTACTGCACAACACATAAACTCCTGTAAGTTAAAAGCTTGGGGCATGATCAATTTTTCATTCTTCATTCTTACACTTCACTAAGTGAATTCAGTGTTTCTAAAAGGTGACAGACTGACATGTCTGTAAGCTGAATTCCTATGTTTATTAAGAAACCCTACAAGCAGCAATCTGACCCTGTCAAAGAAACTATAGCCTACTGTGCTCTGTGATTGCCCAGGAGCAGCAGTTACTGAAAGGGCCCACAGATCCTGTATCCAAGCTCTGTCTGCCTGGTGAAAGAACCTGCTTCAAGTGTACATGCACCACTGTTCCCAGAGGAAGGTAAATGTGGTGGAGATTAATAAACTGCAACTTCAGCCGGGCATGGTGGCGCATGCTTGTGATCCCAGGTATCTGGGAGGCTGAGGCAAAAGGATGGACAGCTTGAAACCAGCCTGGGAGACTCAATGATATACTGTCTCAAAATAAAAACTAAAAATGACTGGGGATGTAACTCAGTGGTAAAGCACCCCTGGGTTCAAACTCTAATATCATCAATCAATCAATCAATCAATCAATAAAGAAATACATGCAAATTGTGGTGTTATTCAACTTGTTTCTCCATCCTATATTTCCTTCAAACTGAAAGTTAGGTCTGAAGGGTCAAATAGGTTTCACGTAGCATCTGAATGCTAATATGATGCTAACAGTTTTTCATATTTTATAGCATTTCAGATTCAGATTTTAGACTTTTGAATCAGGGATACACAACTGGTAAAGTCTGCAAATATTCCTAGATCCAAAATAACCTCAGAAATCTGCAACATTTCTGATACAAGCATTTTTGATCCCAGGTACTCCAGCTGGACTTCCTATACTTCTTGCTGCAGCATCTCAGGCACAAGTACTGTGAGGCTATTTCACTGTTAGTGATGTTAACTTGAACCACTTGGTCCCCAGGTGCCGCAGTCTGGCTGGGCACAAATCACGAGCCACTGAAGCAGGAACAAACTTTATTTTTAAAACGCAGAAAAACACTTCACACAGCTCCCGGGGAAATCCTCCCGAACACGCCACGAGGCTTGTCCAGGAACCACCAGCCGGAACTATATCTCCCGGAAATCCCTCCTCCTGCACTTCCCCAACCAATGGGAACTCTCGGGGAATCCCCGGAAATCCCCACGAGAACTCCAAAATAGTGCGAGAACTCAAAAGTTGCGGCAGAGGCGGACAGGCAGAGGCGCCTGTCAATCAATACTCAGCCGTGGCTCTCAGCATCTCCCCCTTTTTGTTTAATTAAACAACAAGCAATGTGGCTTAGGGACCGTGCCTGTTAGGCAGTCCAATTCAACATATGGTCCTTACCCGTCATCGGATGAACTGACCTCTAGGCGTCAGCCTCCTGTCTTAGGTTGGTACCACTGCAATTGGATCATACCCGTCACTGACTACCGGTCCAGCATACAGCCATACTTGTGGATAGGTCTATGCACCAGTGGGGGGGTGAGGTTCTTTGCCTCACCTCTGTTGGCCCCCAAATTTGGCCTTGGTGCCAGTGGGGGAGTGAGGTTAATGTGGCTTAAGGACCGTGCCTGGTAGGTTGTCCAATTCAACATATGGTTCTTACCCGTCATCGGAAAACTGACCTTTAGGCGTCAGCCTCCTGTCTTAGGTTGATACCACTGCAATTGGATCATACCCGTCACTGACTACCGGTCCAGTATAAGCCATTGGCCCCCAAATTTTAGACCATCACTAGCAGAAGGGAGGAGGATGCAAAATGCCATGACACTAAGCCAATTGAGGGCTCCTTTGAAAAATTGTACCACCGGTGACACCATCAACAAAAATACTCCAGCACTACCACAATTCGCTGTACCAACAGATAGTTCACAATGCATACAAGTGATACATAGTCCAGGCAAGGTCTGCAAGCAATTCAAAGCAGAGGAATCTGTCAATATGTCCATTTCCTCCCAAAGTAAATCGACTCCTTGATTGAGCATTACTTGTGGAGTTATTATTCATTGATGCATCAGTTTTCACAGTTTGTTGTGATAACTATCGAAGAAGCTGTAGTTTGGTTTTATCTTTGTCTTCACCGGCACTGGGATGAAGATAGGAGTTCTGGCAATGATGCTAAGAAAAAAATTATGTAACATTCCAACAGGCACTAAGAAAACAATTTTTTGAACAATTTACATTATCCTGAACAGAATTATTAAATATAATGAGAAGGAAAGGTGAAAGTAAACAAACAGATCTGTTAACCTCCTATTTGTTCACATATTAAAACAATTTTCAACAGCTGTTTACCCAATCTAAATTAAACCATTAAAATCACGTGAATAAAAAAATTCGGATCCATTTATTCATGAGCGCTCCTCATATATGATATATGGACATACACACATACAGACATACAACACAAAACAGAAGTGTGCACACATAACATACAACACTTAAGACAATAGTAAAGGCCTTGAAGCTTTACCTAGGTGAAATCTCCATTGCAATGCTTAAAAACTCCACAGTCAAAAAATAAAACTGATCAGAAAAACATTAACCTAGGTCTGTATGAGCCCAAAAATAAAATAGAACTTTATGATGTGGGAAAAGGCAAATAATAAAATAAATATTGAAAAAAGCATCCTGGTTAATCACTGTCGCAGATGTAAGAATAGCCAAACTGGAGTTCTGGATATCAGCTGTTATGGATTTGAGTCAAATCATCTTCCTTTTGGCCTGTAGAAATTGTTTTAGTTAATCTCTCTGGAATCCAAATCGGCTGCTGTTCTCCCTGTGGAAAAACACAAACAGAACCCCGACTCCAGACAATCACTGGGTCAGGACCTTTCCATTGTCCTGTTAGAATATCCTTCCAAAGTACCTTAGGCTTATGTACATTTTTTGGACACATATGCCTTTCCGCAGCACTAAGCCCTGAGGAATCCAAATTTAAAAAGTTTAGAGTAAAAAGGGTTATTTTAAGTTTATCTTTTGGTGACATATACCCCTTTCCAATTCCCTCTTTTTGCTTTAGTAAGTACATTTTAATAGTTTGATGAGCTCTTTCAACTATGCCTTGTCCTTGTGGATTGTATGGAATTCCTGTTATATGAGTAATGCCAAATGATGAGCAAAATTGTTTAAAAGAGGTAGAAGTATAACCAGGACCATTATCTGTTTTTAACTGTTTTGGAACGCCCACAGTGGCAAAATTTTGTAAGCAATGAGCTATAACATCTTTAGTTTTTTCTCCGGAATGAAGGGAGCCCATCAAAAATCCGGAAGAAGTATCAACTGTAACATGCAAATATTTTAATTTTCCAAATTGTGGCAAGTGTGTGACGTCCATCTGCCAAATATGGTTAGGTATCAGTCCTCTAGGATTGACTCCAAGATTAACTTGTGGTAAAAAGGTCACACAATTTTGACATTGTTTTATTATTTGTCTAGCTTGTTCCTTAGTTATTTTAAAACGCTTTTGTAAAGTATTAGCATTGACATGGAACCTTTTATGAAAATGTGTAGCTTCTTCTAGTGTAGAGAAAATATGTATGTCATGTGTAGTTTTATCTGCTAAATCGTTGCCCAAACTAAGGGCTCCAGGCAATCCTGTATGTGCTCTGATATGTCCTATAAAGAATGGATCTTTTCTGTCTCAGATTAGACTTTGTATAGCAGAAAACAAAGAGAAAACAGTAGAGGAAGGGGAAATCCTGCCAGCATCTTCAAGGGATACTATAGCATTAACTACATACTGACTATCAGAGAATAAATTAAATACAGAATCCTTAAACATCACAAAAGCTTGTAAAACTGCATTAAGCTCTACCTTTTGAGCTGATTGTTTGGGTACTAAAAATGTAAAAGTTTGATCAGGGGTAACTACTGCTGCTGTACCATTATTTGACCCATCAGTGAATACATTTGGAGCATTCATGATAGGGGTTTTTCTTGTCATTTTTGGAAAAACTACAGGATGCGAAGACCAAAAAGACAACAAAGGATTAGATGGGAAGTGATTATCAAATGAAACATTAGATTTACACATGATTATTGCCCAAGTATTTAACTCATTAGCTAACTCATCAATTTGATCCATAGTATATGGAGTAATAATTTTATTGGGAGAAATTCCAAACACTCCCTTTGCTGCTTTTATTCCTTTGAGTATTAATTGTCCTACAGCCTCAGGATACCTAGTAAGAATAGTGTTAGGAGAATAAGATAAATGTATCCACAATAATGGACCTTCTTGCCAAAATACTCCTGTAGGAATATTTTTTGTTGGTATTACAATAAATAATAAAGGCAAAGTTATATCAATTCTATCCAAATGCATATTTTCCATATATGTTTCAATAATTTTTAATGCCTTTCTTGCTTCAGGCGTTAACATGCGGGGTGAATTTGGATCTGATGGACCTTTTAGGATATCAAATAAAGGTCCCAACTCTCCTGTTGGTATGCCTAGATAAGGCCTTATCCAATTTATGTCTCCTAATAACTTTTGAAAGTCGTTAAGTGATTTGAGTTGATCTACTCGTATTTGAATTTTTGGTGGACGGACCATGGTTGAGGATAATAGAACTCCTAAATAATTAATTGGAAAATTTAATTGTACTTTATCTATTGCTATCTCTAGATTATAATTTTTTAATAAATTTGTAAGTGTGGCATAACATTCTAGCAATGTGTTTTTATCTTTGTGTGCTAACAATACATCATCCATATAGTGAAATATTTGTAGTTTAGGATTTTGATTTCTAAGTGGCTGGATTGCTTTGTTAACATAAATTTGACACATAGTTGGGCTGTTAGC